CGTTTCTGGTTGCCATTGAGGTCAGGATTTACAGGTAAAGCAAAAATGTCTCCTAGCAGGAGAGAGAGTGACAGAAAAGGAGAGGGAAAAGACAGGAATGGGGACAGGGCAGACTGAGAGGAGGAAGGGCACCTGGGTCTGCTCAGAAGATGCTGCTATGGCAAAAGGAAAGACGGAGGGCGGCAACCCCAGAGGCAGGCCCTGAGATGTACCTGTCACGGACACCTGTGTAATTCTTTATATTTTAAAATCATTTTCATGTCTGTGGTCTTATTTTGCTCATCACAACCACTCTGAGCAGGTGAGGTGCATGTTCTTTTTTCTACTTTATGGGTGAGAAAACTAAGGCCTGAAAAACTCTGGTGATTTGCTCGAGGCCTTGCAGTTCTAATGTACTTCACATCTGGAAGAGGCTATTTCTATCGTACAGCAAAATTCAGTCATTGCTTTCCTGGTATTTCAGTTTTTAAGCCAATATCATGAACAGTCTAATAAGACACAAAGATAGTCTCTCTTGCTTTACACTTGCACCATATGAGTATTTCAATATTTAGACTTCACTACAATTTCTCTGAATGTTATTGCTCTTGTCAAAGCATTTGCCTAACATATAGCAAAACCACTCTTCCTTTCAAGGGGGTCCACATGTTTCTGGTGGACGGGAGCGTGTCATGCAAGTAAAGATGAGAGCAGCTTTGTCGTGCTCCTCTTCTGGGAATTTTTCTAGGGATATTACTAAAGTCAAGAATAGATCAGAAATGAAGAAAAGGTAGGAATATAAAGAATAGCTTTCATGGAAAATTGAAATCGTTCCTTTGAAAGTTCACAATTTCCACCCTGATGATAGATCCCCAGCCTTGCAGAATGGGTTCTCCCTGGGTATAAAGGTGACCGCCAATGAGAGGGTTTTGAAGTGACTGTGATTGATGTCAGCAGGGCCACATGGTGATATTTTATTACAAACTGAATGGGCATTTATTAAGCAGATTCACTGGGAGCAGCTCTGGGCTAGATGGGGTTGGGAGGTGCAAAAGGAAGACACAAGCAATAAGACTTTAAAGGCCACTTAGAGATTGCAGTCCCCCCAGTGGGCCACACCTGCTTTAAGCTAGGTGCTCTCGAAGTCACCGTGCCACGTGTATCTCCCACAAATGCCGAGCGGACCGGCCCAGTTCTCCTTGTTGCAAGATGAGGCCATCTGGAGAGACTTAGTGATGTCCCCAGTGAGCAGGGGGCTGCCCTGGGCTCTGCACCTAGGACTTTTGTCTCCAGGTGAAGAGCTCCTGTCACTAACCTGCGGGGGAAGCAGCCAGAAAGGCACCGAGTCACAGTCTACAGTTGGGACACATGACAGAGGTGTGGATTTCTGCTGGCTTCAATAGTATAGGCATTCAGAATGAGCACAGTCCTTGTGGGTTAGGGATGGTGGGATGGTGGGGTGCGCTTCCTAGAGACGACAAAGCGTGAGCACTTTAGGGCTCCTTTCCCAGGTGAGGTGGTTGTGGAAATGTTTTGAAAAGGGAAATGCCTTTTTAAGAGACAAAGTGACCTGGCTGGTTAATAAAAGTTTTCTTTCTCGGGTTAAAAGGAGTTGCTTCTTAGACGACAAAGCGTGAGCACTTTAGGGCTCCTTTCCCAGGTGAGGTGGTTGTGGAAATGTTTTCAAAAGGGAAATGCCTTTTTAAGAGACAAATTGACCTGGCTGGTTAATAAAAGTTTTCTTTCTCGGGTTAAAAGGAGTTGCTTCTTATATATCCTGAAGCATCTGGCTGTCCTGGTGGAGACATGTGAGCGCTGCCCCAGGCCGGGAATATCCCGAGAGAGTAAGAATAGCCCACAATAAGAGATGATTCCTGCTGTCTGGTCACTGCAGTTGTCAGGCAGGATTGCTTTGGAGGCAAACGGCTTAAGGCCGTCTCAACTTGGCGACAGAAAAACTCACCTCCTACTTCTGGGCTCAAATCTTTCCTTTCCTATCTCCAATTCTTGCCTTGAAGTCGCGTGTAGCTAAAATCCATTTATTCCTGCAAAGATTTTCTACCTCCTTGGAGAACACAGGCCTCCGATGTCTCCGGCAGCCTCGAGTCTGTGACATTCTGGAAGCATGGAAAGCTTGGACTTGCTGGGATTCCTCATCATCACGTTAAACTGCAATGTGACCATGGTGGGTGAGTGTCAGGAAAACCTCCAAACTCCTGCTTGGTTTTTGCTTTTGTTGTTATCTTGGAATTGAATCCTTCTTAAAAGGTCAAAGCATTTTCTAACTTTCAGTTTGCCTGGCCTACCCCCGAAAGAAAGGCTTGTGTGGTGCTGGAGGAAAGGGAGCAATTAGCTGGGTTCCAGCTTTCCTCTAATTGCTCCACGGTTCCACCATCGTTTAAGGAAGTCTTGGGTATCAACACTGTTCTCTCACGTGGTCTCTTCTTACTGACACCCGGGTGCTGAGCCTGAGGCCAGTGCAGGTGGAACGCGTATTTTTGCATAATACAGAATACAGTAACAGTTAATGAGAAAGTAACACCTGAATTATGCTTTCTTCTCCTTCATCTTTTTGGATTTTATCCTCGAAGCTTAATTTGTAATGATTAGTAATGTCTCGTGCACTTTAAACTAAACCCCAATTTTAGTTTAGTTAGTTTTTGAACAACAACAACAAAAGATTTCTGAGTTTGAAGCAGATGAGTCAAACCTTCAGAGAGGTATGAGTGTCATAGAAAAAGGGACTGAGAAAAGGACTAATACGTGCCTGAGATGTGGTTGACGCTTTTCTCACTCATTGTTATGTAGAATTGAAACATCAATTTGGCATTGAAAGTTCACATCAATGGCTTTATCACACGATGATATTATTCTTTAACTGCCGTCATTTATAATAGAGTTTTGGTTTTCTGATGTCTGGTGTTTTCTCTTTCTCATCATAAAACACAATGTTTTAGGTTATTTTGGCTGTGTTTTAAACATGTTCCAAAATAGATGACCCATGACATGATGATATGGCTTTCAAGTTATTCTGGTTTCCTGGTTTGGTCTCATTTCTTCACAATAAATCAAAGAAGACAAACCTCATTAATTTGTAGTAACTGGAATAGGGAAAAAGGGATCGTGAATTATTTAAGGAATCTGAACAGTGGAATGTTCTTAAAGAAATTCAAAGACCACAGAGCAACATGAAACCTAAGCCCTGTGATTAAATAGAAACCTTGTGGTGACGAGGCCATTCCTGCTGCTTCTTTTCTAGGGAAGATCTGGCTCATCTTCATGGTGCTGTTGAGGGTGGTGGCCGTCGTCCTGGCAGGGTACCCCGTCTACCAGGACGAGCAGGAGAGGTTTGTCTGCAATACTCTGCAGCCGGGATGCGCCAACGTGTGCTACGACGTCTTCTCGCCCGTGTCCCTCCTGCGGTTCTGGCTGATCCAGAGCGTGTCTGTTCTCCTCCCTGACGCTGTCTTCAGTGTCTATGTCCTCCATCAAGGAGCCGTGCTGGCTGCCCTGGGACCCTGCCGGTCACACGGAGGTCCCGTGCTGAGCGCCGGGGAGAGGCGCTGCGCGGGACGCTGCCAGCCGAGCGTGCCCGACTTCTCCTGCGGCTACATCGCCCACCTCACCCTTCGGATCCTGCTGGAGGCACTGGGACCCTGCCGGTCACACGGAGGTCCCGTGCTGAGCGCCGGGGAGAGGCGCTGCGCGGGGCGCTGCCAGCCGAGCGTGCCCGACTTCTCCTGCGGCTACATCGCCCACCTCTCCCTTCGGATCCTGCTGGAGGCCCACCTCACCCTTCGGATCCTGCTGGAGGCAGCTTTTGGGGCCTTGCATTACCTGCTCTTTGGATTCTTGGTCCCAAAGACGTTCTCCTGCACTCAGTCCCCTTGCACCGGCGTGGTGGATTGTTACGTCTCTCGGCCCACGGAAAAGTCCATCATGACGCTTTTCCTCTGGGCGGTGGGCGCCCTGTCCTTGCTCCTCAGTGTCGCTGACCTCATCTGCAGCGTGCGCAGGAGGACGAGCGGGGGGCGAGGCCCCAGGCGAGGGGCGAAGGGCTCTCCCGTCGGGACGCGGTGCGGAGCCCCGACCTCCCGCCCGGTGCCCGCTGAGGGACGGGAGGCCCCTCGCAGCCTGGGGAGGAGTCGGATGCATGAGGACGGCGAGTGGGAGGCGGAGGGGACGCCCAGTCACCCGGGCATGTGGGCCGCGGGGGACGGTGCCCACAGCCCCGGTGGAAAGTCTGGCGTGTCGGGGCGGACGGAGCTTCCAGATGAAGGTGACAGTGAGGGGATGTCCTCAGCCAGTGAAAAGCTGGCTATGACTCCCAAAGGGGCCCGGGATCGCTCCCCCAGAAAGGTCCCCCAGGACCCAAGGAGCAAAGGCCCCGCTCGGTCCGAGGAGCAGCCCTCAGCCCTGGGGAGCCGGCTGGCCGGGCACTATTCCTGCGGCCAGCTCCAGCCCCCTGCCCGGCTGGCCAGCTCCGGCAGCGCCCCCCACCTGAGAGCCAAAAAATCCGAGTGGGTGTGAGCACAGCGCACGAGCCGCCCCGGCGAGCCCTGCTCTGCAGCCTGGAGCCGCTGTCCTGTGCAAGGGACGTGCCCGTGAACCTCGGCACCTGCCAAAGCTCAACACTCGACCCGGTTCCTGCAGAACATGAACAGGCAGACAAGCCAGCTGGCACGGGACACACGGACTTCGTGGGAGACTCTGATACACTGCCAATCCAGATTTAACACAGACATTGAAAAAGGCACTTGACACAGATGCCCACACGAAGCTAAAACGATCGATTGGAGAGGGTCAGGTGACTGGCCATCGTGACACTGCTCTGTATGCCACGCTCTGTCTGGTTCTATCATCTTATTGTGTGCTTAATGTGAAGCATGTTCTCTTACATTAGTAAGGTTCATTAATGCTTTAATGTTTTCTGGTGAATTATCATGAGGTTTTTGTTCTGTTTTGTTTTTCTGCTGGGATGAAAGAGACATTCGTTATGCATGTCATCAACAGAGACACATTAGTTCCTCTTCTCCAGACCCCTTTAATAAAACTCATGCTGATTGCATTGTAATATCACAATGTGTTACTTCATCATGTTATAGGAGAAATGACAAATGCAGAAAATATGGCTAATAAATTGGTTTGGGG